GGAGCATAAGCTTTCGTGGGTAAGAACCTCACTTCTTCAGATGCATCTGAAGAAGTGAGGTTCTTACCCACGAAAGCTTATGCTCCCAGTACTTCTGTTAGTCTCAAAGGTGCCACAGGACCCTTTGTTGCTTTTTACAGATTCAGACTAACACGGCTACCCCTCTGATACTTAATTTTCCATGTTTGTTTCACTGTTACAAAGGGTGGGTCTTGAAAATCACCAAAAATGTGTTACATAAATTATGGACAGCCCTGGACTCCAGTGGCACATGTCAAGGAGCAGCCCAAGGGAAGAGCCGTCCACTGAGCGTCGACCGCTGACAGCCCTGGAAATACAGTCCTAGATGTACTTCAGTAGGTCCCCAGTGACTGGTGGCAGGGAGACAGAGGACTGACCGCTTACAGAACCACATAATCACTTTACTCTCTGATATTGTCAGTGTAACTGGCACCCCGGAGATGGGTGCAAGTGGAGATCCCCACTCCTGTAGTGTGTTCACGGGGCTGAGGGCGTGTCCGTGGTGCTGGGGGATGAGACCCCCCGTCACGCAGCGTGTCGGGGGGGCTGGGGGCCAAGATTCCCCGTCACACGGAGCGTCCGGGGCTGGCAGAAGCTGGCTCACTGCAGAGCCCCCAGCAGGCCCCATTCTCGCTTCATGACACCTTGATAGTGTAATTTCGTGGGCGGGAGGTCAGCCCTCCTGCCGCTGTGACTCCCCCTCCATCCGCCAGAGGGCGCCACACACAGGCGCAGCGCTGTACAAGCCGCTCATGGGCTCGCCCGCTGAGCTCAAGTAGCGCACGCTCATTTTGCTACGGATTCTCTTGCGCTGAGAGCATGCGCATTCCTCATGCTCTCCAATCCTCCATTCCCGCGCCCGCCCCTGCGATTACCTTACCGCATACGCACGCGCACTCAGCCACAGAACTCCCCCAGCCTCGCTCTCAGGCCCGGCTAGGCGCATGCGGCTTTCATCTTCCACCGGCTTGTCCTCTAACCAACGGCCAAAGCCTCGCTGATATTACGAGGCGCATGCGCGTTTTTGCTCCGTCCTAGGCGGTTGGAATAGGTGCTGTAGCGCTTGGCCGCAGCTATGGCCGGGGCGCTGAAGAAGGTGAGGGCCGGGGTCAGGGGCTTCTCCTTCACCGCCATGCCCGGGGCTGCTTCTCGCCGCAGTCTAGGGGCTGCTTGCCTCGGGCCACCGGCTCCCTGGGGAAGGGCAGGGCAGACTGGCGGGGACTGATGGTGGTGGGCCTGGTAAAACTCCCCCTCCGCTTCCGAGAGCAGCCCAGGCTCCTCGGGACACGCCGAGCAGCCAGCGCTGGCAAGGGCCCTTCGCAGGGACAACCCCTGCCGCGGAGAGCCCCGCGGGTGCTGGCCGCTCGCTTTGCTTTGGGAGCCGAGCCGAGCAATAGCTCGAATGGAAGCCGGGAAAAAACGCGTTAATTCTACCGACTGCTTAACGTGAGCTGCCCCCCCCCCCCCCCCTTCTCGGCGTGTTTGTCGTGCACCCGTCGCTGGGCTGGCTGCGGCCCGGTCCGCGCTACGGATCCATAGCGGGATAATTATGTTGCTAGGGGTGTGGATTTTGAGTGACTTAGTTATACTGACCTAACCCCTTATGTAGACAGCGCTATGTGGGCAGGCGAGCTTCTCCTATCGACATAGGTACGGCCTCTTGGAGAGGTGGATTAAGTATGCGGATGGGAGAAGTGCAGCTGCAATGCTGCAAGTGAAGCAAGCACTAAGGAAAGGGAAATGGAGGATCTTTGCCCCCAGCCCTCTGGATTTGTGTGATTTTTTTTTTCTGACCCTTAACTCCAAATATTGTAATTCCCAATATATGCTTCAGTTCAGCTGACGTTATGAGTCAATAGTGTGTGTTACAGCAAGACTTGAAATAAATAAATTGGCTTACTAAATGTGTCCTGTTTGTGCAGACCACTGGGCTCGTGGGAGTAGCTGTATCTGAGGCTCCTCACGAGGTATGTTTCAAGTATATTTTAATATCTAATTGACAGACTGCAAATCTGAGTATTCACTTGTTTTGCTTGACTTGTGTATATTTTATGTATCTTACGATCCTACAGGGAGCACAGTTATCTGAAATCCAAAACGTTCAGTTTGATGGAGAATATTGGATACGGTCTGGAAAGGTTTACTTTTAAAACTAAAAAAGGCAGTTCTTCTGCAGATGTTTTTTGTTCCATAAATATAAAAATTTGACTTGGTAGTTGCTTCTTAGAAACAATTAATTTCCAAAATCACTTACAGTAAGGCTTTTTTCTGAGCAAACATGAAGTAGTAATATTTTTCTCTGTAGAGCCCTAAAATGGTGAAAAGAACAGTGTAACTTATACGATGGAGTGCAACTATTTAGGTTTGGTGGCTTGTAAAGTTAATTACTATTCCGCATGCAGATTTTCCCAGATCAAATAATAGATTCTGCAGCCCCATACTAATGTTTCTGTAAAATTTAATACCTGATCTACGGGGCAGGAGCGGTGTCTAGATCAGGGGTCGGCAACCTTTCATTTATTCGCTTTAATTTAAGGTTTCACGTGACGGTAATACATTTTAATGTTTTTTAGAAGGCCTCTTCTCTCTGTCTATATATTATATAACTAAACTATTGTATTGTAAAATAAACAAGGTTTTGGAAATGTTTAAGAAGCTTCATTTAAAATTAAATTAAAATGTTGATCTTACGCCGCCGGCCCGCTCAGCCTGCTGCTGGTCTGAGGTTCCGTTCACCTAGGCCAGCAGCAGGCTGAGCGGGGGTTGTGGCTGGCAAGGGGCCGGCAGCCAGAACCCCAGACCGGCAGTGGGCTGAGCGGCTCAGTCCGCTGCCGCTCAGGGGTTCCATCCGCCGGCTCCTGCCAGCCAGGATCCTGGCTGCTGGACCCGCTCAGCCCGCTATCGGCCTGGGGTCCCGGCCCTGCCCACAAACAATTGGTACCTACCTTCTCCCTGGTTCTGGCCCATTCTCTTCCTCTCTGCACTGAGCTGACGGTGGGAGTGCACTGAGCACAGGGCTGGGGGTGAAGGAGTAGGCTGTGGGTTGGGGTGTAGGGTCTGGCCGGGAGCTGGAATGAGGGAGGGGGCTCAGGGTTGGGGCAGGAGGTTTGGGTGTGGAGCGCTTACCTGGGCAGCTCCCATTTGGTGTGAGGGGTGCAGGTGGGAATGTGGGGTGTGTGTGTGCAGGAGCTCCCATTTGGTTCTCAGGGTGGGGGTGGGGATGTGGGGGGTGCAAGAGTCAGGATGTGGGGAGTGCATGGAGTGTGGGGGGGCTGGGTATGTGGGGAGGTGCAAGAGTCAGGGCAGAGGGCTGGGGGCATGTGAGGGGGTTGCAGGTGTCAGGGCCTGGGGTGTGGGGGGCCTGGGTATGTGTGGGGGTGCCAGAGTCAGGACTGGAGTCATGGAGGGGGGTGAAGGAGTCAAGCAGAGGGGTGTGTGTGTGAGGGGGATACAGGGCTCAGGGCAGGGGCCTGGCGGGTGTGCGGGCTGCAGGACTCAGGGCAGAGGGCTGGGTGTATGTGAGGTGGGGTCAGGGCAGAGGGCTGGGTTTGGGGGGTGCTCACGGCAGGGGGCTGGAGGGGATATGCCCCGCTTCCACCCCCCCTTCGCCAAGGCCCTGTCCCCGCTTCTTCTCTGCCTCCGTGGGGAGCAGAGAGTACACTGACTGCTCCTCCTCCACCCACTCCCTTGCAAGGGCCATCAGCTGATCAGCCTGCAGGCAGGGAGGGAGAGAGAGGAGGAGGAGGGGCAGGATCCCAGCACACTGCAGGAAGATGCAGGGGAACCGGCAGGACCAAGCTTCTGCCCCCTGCACCCGCCGGGGGGCGGGGGAGAGTGGAGAAGAGTGGGCTGGGCAGGATTTTTAATGGCACGCTGCAGCCTGCCATTAAAAATCTGCTCCCGTCTTTGGCACACGTGCCATACGTTGCTGACCCCTGGTCTAGATTGTAAACTCTTTGGAGCAGGGACCCATATTTTGTTAGGTTTGTATAGTGCCTAGTGCAGTGGGACCTTGGCTCAAGACACAAGCTTTTTTTATTAAATACAGAAAATAGGATTTAAGTGGTTCCAAGTAGTAACAGACAGAACAAAGTAAGTCACCAAGCAAAATAAAATAAAGCACGCAAATCTATGTCTAATCAAACTGAATACAGCTAAGATCCTCACCAGTTCCAGAATGCTCCCTTTTGCAAACTAATCTCCTTTTAGCCTGGGTCCAGCAATCACTCACTCCCCTTGCAGTCACTGCCCTTTGTTCCAGTTTCTTCCAAGTATACTGGGGGGTGGAGAGGCTCTCTCATTAGCCAGCTGAAGGAAAAATGGAGGGTTCTCCCATGGTCTTAAATAGACTTTCTTTTTGTGGGTGGAGACCCCTCCACTCTCCCATGCAAAGTCCAGCTTCAAGATGGAGTTTTGGAGTCACCTGGGCAAGTCACATATCCATGCATGACTGAGTTCCTTACCAGCCAAGACACGAGCTCGTAGGCATCACTGTAATACAAAGAATAAATCACTTGATAATTCTCACTGGCACTCCTAAGGAAGTAGCTTCCTAGTTCATCTAGGACAGAGGTTCCCAATGTGTGGGATGCACCCCCCGGGGGGATGCAGTGGCCTGGACCAGCCCCATGGGTGGGGGGGAGATAGCAACACTCAGCTCTTCCTGGCCCCCAGCTGCAAGCTCTGTTCCTGGTCCTGCCCAGGCCCCCCAGTCTGCCCACGTGGCCTCGGCTGCCCCCAGCCTTGGCTCCCTTATCCTGTCTGCTTCCCCCCCCTCCCAGAGCATCGGCCCGCTCCTGGCTGCGGGGGGGGGGGGAGGGGGGGCGGCGAGGGCAGGCAGGGGAAAGAGGGAGTGCAAGGTAAAAGTTTGGGGGCCACTGATCCAGGACATAAGATTTTCCACTAATGCATTTGAAAGGACTCTTAGATTGTTTAATATCACAGCAATCCCATATCTCTCTCTGAAACATTGAAATATTCAGACTACACAATAATCCCACTAGGGCGAGATCATGCCAGTGTCACTGCTACTGTTGCTTGGAAAGAATTAACAGGAGTATAAAACTCTTATAAAGAGCCATATCTACAGGGCTGTCTTACAACTTTTATGACAGTAAATTTAGGGCTGCAATTAACCCCTTGGTCTTAACAGGCTATTTTCCTTCTCTTCTCCTGCTGTTGTCTGTATAATTCTGCTCCTTGCCCTTACCTCCAGTTTCCCACTCCTATTCCTTCGGCTCAGAAATTACTCTATTGGTTCCACTATCCACCTTCTCCTACTACAGCCCGATTTCATCTGTTTCCCAGCTGCTGTGAATTTTAACTAACCCCTGAAGTTTCTTAAAAACATGCTGAGGGTTTAAAAACACAGACTTTTCTACGGATGAATGTAAATGAAATCATCCTAATGTCGGCACTGGTAATAGGTGCCCTTTTTAATGGATTCGGGATGGGGGAGGAAGGTGGCTATATCTTTGGTTTTGATTATTTGCTTTTTTTCTTTAAGGCTTTGTGCCAATTAACATCTCTGAGATAGATTAAGGGCCAGATCTTGAGAACAGATTAAAACATTCACCGCACAGTTCATGAGGAAAGTAGTCAAGAAGATTAGCAAGGTAGTTTTATACTCTACAGATGATTCCAAACTGGAACCCCGAATTGAAACACATCCTGGCCCAAACCCAGGTCAGAATTCTGCACTCAGACCCAGCGACTTTATTGGTATAGCCAGTGTGAATTTGAATGCTGTAGTTCTCTATATTTTATTTTGTGGGCTTGTTGATTATTTAAATATTTCTGTTAACAGTCATTTATTACTTACACACTTCCACATGTCTTCCAATCATTTCAGCACCTGAGGATACTGTATACAAAAATTCTCACTGCTCTGCAGGACATCCCCAAAGATGCAGCATATAGGAAATACACTGAACAGATTGTAAATGAGCGGTTTAACATGGTAAAAACAGTAAGTATAGCACTACTTGTAAATATTTTATATGCAAAGTTTGTACAGCAAAGACTATAGTATTCTCAAAATCTCAGTTTATCTTCAGAGAACATATAGAAGTTATCTGTTTCAGAGAGATGATCAAGGTCACATACTCTTTCTGATTACATAAACTACTACTCCTTTGTATATTTAACTAGAAAATAGCAATGGTGTCTCATCACTGATTTCTGCTAAAAATTGAAATAGAAAGTAGTTATCTGAAGATTTGCAGAATAGCAGACTTCTGGGTATTTTATTTACACTCATTCACTCTTTTACCAAATGCACTATTTTAGCTCTTTCTTGCCATTCAGCATTTTTGAAACAATCACTTTTCTATTGGGCAGGGTCAAATAGCTCATTGCACTCTTGCTTTTGTTTGACTACAGTGACTTGTTGAAAGGATGAGTATCTTATTTCTCCAGAAAGCTATGATCACACTTTCTGTCCACAATCTGTGGTACAGCAGAATGCTATTTTTGCTTCTCTGTACATCTGAATTGCAATAAAATAACTTTTTTGGGGGGTATTTCTCTTTATATTTTAAAGAGACATTGCTTATAGCAGGAAAGAACAGTACAGGAATCATGTATTCCTGCAGTGTAAAATAGATTACCTTGAAGCTAACTCATTTGAGTGGTTACATTTAGGAAGAATTGGACACCGTGTGATCTATTTTAAGTTCTGTCTTTGAGTTCTGTACTTGATACTCTAAAATAAAACTAAACATTTATTTTATTGTATCTGAATTCACAGGAACCTAATGTGCAAAAACTAGAAGACAAAATGAAAAGTGGTCAGATAGAAGAAGTGATAATGCAGGTAAAGTTGGATACTGTTTAAAAATGACTTTGCTGACGGGCAACAACTAGATACGAGTGCTTTCTTTGCTCTTCTGTGAAAAGAGAAATGACAAGCATTAAGAGTGTATTAAATATATAATAGCAGCATGCCTTTTTGAAGCTGTAACAATACAGACACACACAAATTCCCCCAGGAGTACAGAGTTAAAGAAAACCCTGTTTCTCTTCCTCTTCCCCCCCCCCCCCCCCGACCGCCCAGCAGGGGGCCACGAGACCCGCACCCTTTACCACCCACCCCCCCCCCCACGCAAAGCCATGGCTCTCGCCCAGCCCAGATACTTGTGCCCCCTCCTTCCCCAGAGCCCAGCTGTGGGGTGCCCCCCAGCCCAGAAACCCCCAGAGCCCAGCTGCAGAGCTCCCTCCCACCCAGATACTCTCACACATCCCCCCCCCCAGAGCCCTACTGTGGGCCCCCCTAGCCCAGAAACCTGCATCCCTTCCCCTCCAGAGCCCAACTGTGGGGGCCCCCCAGCCTAGACACCCGCACAACCTAATCCCCAGAGCCCAGGGAGCTAGAGGGAGAAACAGCCTGATGTTGGGTCCTGGGCTTATGTAGAGTTTCTTGCACGCCACCTCCTTCATTCAGGGCATGCTGGTAACTGCAGCTGCCAGGAACCTTCCAGCTCCTCCCTCCCTCCCTACCCCAGCAGTGTCTTCTACTTGCAACAGTTCTGCAGCCCATTTCTGTGATGGGGGAAAAAAGGAAATTCAGCACTCTCAATGTTAATTTCTGCACACATTCTGCATGCGCAGTGGCACAGAATTTCCCCAGGAGTATCTATCCTACCCATATACGAACCCTAAGAGGGATCCATGCTTGGCTTAGAGGAACAGTGTTAGTGCTCAAGTATTCCTGTGGGCCAAAGAGGAGAAGTGTACTGCTTGAACAACTTTTCCTGCTTGTTACGTTCTCAGACTGCATGACCATGATGTGGGAGGGAAGGAAGACAGGCAGGTGGGTGGTTTAAAAAGAGGTGTCGGTCATTCTTTGCTCTTCAGTTAGGAAGCCCTTTTGCAGTGGGGTTGGGAGTATGGAATCTTTGCTAGTGCCCTCTCTTATGAGTGCCAGTCAGACAGGAAAGGTGACAGAGCGACCCTTGGAACCTGGAGTTTCTCTGTGAATTGTCGTGTCCGTCCCCCCCCCTCCCCTCCCCCCCCCCCCCCAAATGTGGATTGAGTTGATCTGGTGGCTACATGGAGCTAAGAGCATTTCTGCCCTTGGAATGGCCTTTAACTTCTTTTAGACAACCTGACATTCAGTTTGGGAACCAGTATGCTGCAGTGTCATTTGGAGTGGGTGTTGAGTAATCTGATCTTGGGTTGGCAGGGTAAAGTATGTTTGTAATGAATGATTGTATTCATGCTATTTGGGGTTATATAACATAATTCTACAATTTGTTTTAATTTAGTTATAAATCGGCCTTAATTCAACATGTGATTAATCTCTTTTTACAAATTGATTGTAAATTCTTCAGGGCAGAGGAATCTTTTTGTTATGTTTGTATAGCACCTAGTATCTTGGAGCCCCCTAGGAATTACTGCTATACACATAAGAATTTACATTTTCTGCTTGCCTTTAAGAGAAGTTGGGTTGCTGCTATTCTGTTTTTATTCAGTTTTTTTTTCTCACTCATGTTCAACTAATCAAATTATTAATCTGCAAATTTCTTTTTAAAGTAGAGGTTATGTCACAAATAGATAACTCTTGTAAGAACATACTACTCATGACATGACTGTAGCTATAGGTAGGGCCCTACCAAATTCACGGCCATGGAAAACGCGTCACGGACCGTGAAATCTGGTAGTCTTGTGCGCTTTCCCCCTATACTATACGGATTTCACGGGGAGACCAGCATTTCTCAAACTGGGGTCCTGACCCAAAAAAGGTTGCGTGGGGGAGGGGGGTGTCACAGTATTGCCACCCTTATTTCTATTCTGCCTTCAGAGCTGGGCAGCCAGAGGGTGGTGGCTGTTGGCCGGGCACCCAACTCTGAAGACAGTGCCCCGCCAGTAGCAGCGCAGTAGTAAGAGTGGCAATACCATACCATGCTATCCTTACTTCTGCACTGTTAGTGGCAGCGGCTCTGTCTTCAGAGCTGGGCTCCTGGCCAGCAGGCGCTACTCTCTGGCCGCCCAGCTCTGAAGGCAGTAGTAAGGGTAGCAGTACCGCAACCCCTCTGCAATAACCTTGTGACTCCCCCCATAACTCCTTTCTGGGTCAGGACCCCTACAATTGAAACACCGTGAAATTTCAGATTTAAATGGCTGAAATAATGAAATTTACAATTTTTAAAATCCTATGATTGTGAAATTGACTAAAATGGACCATGAATTTGGTATGGCCCTAGCTATAGGGTAGGTAAAAATGAAAATTTCTGCATTTTCTTCATTTACCTGCAGTGCCATTCTACTTACTCCTGTAAATTTGAACTCTATCATAATTACAGTGGGCTTCATTGACTGTTTGGAGATGAGAATAGATTTTATGGCTTTGCTGTGTGATCCATTGGCCCAATGACTGAATTGCTTGCAAAGCACTCTAGATGGAACTTTGGTATCCGAAGAGCTTGTAAATTCATAAAATATGTTCTCCAATTATAGATTAGTCAGACTTAGATCAATATCTCAGAATATAATTAAAATTAAAAATCTCTTGTATATTTTTATCAACAGGCTGAAAGTGAGCTCTCTCTGGCAAGAAAAATGGCACAGTGGAAACCATGGGAGCCTTTAGTTGAAGAACCTCCTACTGACCAATGGCGATGGCCAATATAATAGTCAGCATTATGTCTGTAACTACTTGAGAATCGAAAAAAACCCAATTAAATATTAATATCATGTTACTGAAAATTGTTTGTCTTTAAATTAAAGAAAATAGCTTTTGTATATGATTTGTTTTGCCTCAATATCTATTTACATTTAGCAGGATGTAAAGGTCCAGTCTGACTTTCTTGCAAAAATGCTTTACTAAAACTTAGTTAAGCTATTGAGCAATCTGATTATTTTCTTTCCTGGCTTGCTGATTTAACAATATATTTTAGTAGAAACAGAAACTTTCTTCTGTGTAATTATCCTTCTTTTCTTGTCTGATTCACTTCTTGACATTTTATCAGCATGGAAGCAATTTTCATGTCTGACTCTGGATTGTGGCTACACTGAACTGGCTAAGGCAAGAAGAGGAAAGGGTGAACTGCATTTTACACAAACACTTGATGATCAGCCATGGTGAGATAAATACAGATAAAACTGTGTGTCAGTTTGATACTTTTGACTAAATTGGTACATTTGTAAAGTTTTGGAAGTCACTCTGGGGAAAAAGCAAATAATAAAAAACAAGTCTGCAACCAAAATTATATAACTACGTTAAGTAATTTTTGCCTCCATTAAAGTTCCACTACGCTTCCACATGTGAATTTTGTTTGATAGTGTGCTGGTAATTTTTAAGGATTTAAGAATCACTGAAGATAATCCTAAGAGTATACAAATGCATCTATAACTCAGCTAATGCTGTGTTGGTTGTGAACTGGCATATAGCCTTCAGATAAAAGAATTTGACATTCATAATTGATAGTTTGGGCCAGACTGTTTTCCTATTTACTTAAATGGGAATAGATTAAGACCATTTGTGAAGAAAATATATCAATGTGCTTAATAAACCTGTAGAGTTCAACACTGAAAAGCATAACAGTTAGAAATCACAGGGATCAAAGCTGAGGCTATTTTTATTCATTCTTTCAGTACCATGATCCAAGTAATGCTTTCAAGTTTGCACGTGGCATATAGCCTCTGAGGAACAGTATGTGAGCTAACAATGCATACACATACATACAGAAGAACTCACAGTGAGCATTAAAGATTTAGATTAACAGACTGCCAGTACAATCATATATAAAACAGCTAGTTTCGGAGAGGCTATTTCCTTAACTAAAAACTGTTGCATTTAGGGACTTGGATAATGTTGCAGGAGAACTCTAATTGGCAGTTCATCGTGCAGATACCATGAAGTTAGCAAGCAGGATGCACTGTGCAATTAAATACATTAAAGGATTGTTCTTACTGCTATATGAATATTGGTGAATACTTGAAACCTGTGCCCAATTCCGATCCACAGGCTTTCTAAAATGTGAATGTTGAAGGGATAGGACTGGCATACAGGAAAACCAGGGGACCAATTAAAACTTTTCAAATTTTGGATAACGTAAGCCAAGACTACAACTAAAATCCCAAAATGTTGGGTAGTTACGTGGAACTTACTTCACGTTAATTGTATATACCAAGGCAGTTGACCTCTTGCGGGGGATAATTAACAAGCCCAAAGAAAACGTCAGTGATAGAGGCATTTTCAGCTTAGGATATGGCAAAGCTAGAACTCTGTACACAGTATGCATGTTTCATTTTGCTAAGCCCACTTGATTGAACTGTTCTTCCCAAATGCACCACTCCCCACCCTTGTTTTGGAAAGGCTATTTGTTTTATTCCCATTTAAAAAAAATACATAAACCGAGAAGTTTTAGCACTGCTATGTTTAGAAGAGTATTATTACAAACGGTTGGAATCCCTGCTATGAAAATTGATTACGTATAAATGCGATTAGACTTGAAAGCTAAAGTAAGGGATTGTCTACATGGCTAGTTAGTACACATATGCACTAATATTTTCAGTACAAGTATTTTCAGGTAAGGAGTAGCCAACTGCATATGTGAAATAGTACATGAAATATTTTAAGCAAATTATTAGATTATACTGGTACATTGACATTGATTGGGACCCTGCTTTGAGTTGATACTCAGACAAAAATAAGCACTCCAGAATGTTGAGATTCCAGGCTGTGGCTGAAAGAGAACCGTTTATTTTGTGTTGCCCAATGCTTTTTACATGCATTTTCAACATGAGATGTAAAACACCTTTTCCATACAATATTTCAACAACTTTTAAATGAAAAGCATACAATGTAAGAGTCTAAGTCTGTATCTTTTTGAGACTAAAGAATAACTATTCACACTTCGGGCAGGATTTGACTTGATTGGAATCAAACCTGTGTAAATATACCATAAGTGTTTTGACCTATAAACCTGCGGGGAAACAAAGGAAAATGGCGCTTCAGCTACTGAGTGGTATTTTCAGTGACAAAACTGTTCAACCGTTCCGTACTGTAACTGGATTTGATATTCAAGAGTTAATTGTAAATATATATTTTGGATATTCATGATGTATTAATGGTTGGCTATGGACTTGACTTTTAGGAGTTTAATGTCATACATCGTTCATAGTGGTGGACTTTTCCTTATGAATTTTCACGTTATAAGTACTTTGATTTAACCTATGCTTTTTTTGTTACGAGGAGCTAATGATATCCAAATACCTAATATACAGGCAAGAGCAAGCTTAAAGTTGTATACATTTAGGATACTGGAGAAATGGTAAGGAGAAGATGGTTGCGGAGAGTATACAGGCAAAGAAACTAACTAGACTTGTAGTAGTATCATCCCACTTTGTTTTGCTTGTATATTTTTAAATATTTGACATATCTGTTTAGAGTGCGTATTCTTTGGGGTGGGGGTGTATTCCTACTTTTACAGCACCAAGCATGTATTTGGGAAAGTATTGTAATACACAACAAAATATATATTTTATTAATTTACTAAATTTGTAGAATTTCTAAATATTTCTAAATTTATATTTATACTGAATTGAATGGACCGAGAGCTGTTACAGTAGCTGACCAGTTGATGTTTTCAGGACAAAATTGCTAGTTTATATTTTGTAAATATCTGAATATTTACATTTTGAATAGTGAAGTTCTAAAATATTCATTTTAAAAGATTATCGCCAAGTTAAAGTATCTTTTGGTTATGTTAATAAGAGGTTTTTAATAGACCCCCCTCCAATTTTTAATGGGTTCCATAGCTTAGCTGGAATTGTTTATTTGCAGTATTGCTACTGATCCACAATGTTTTTTTTTGTTTTGTTTTTTTTATTAAATGGTAAGGGCTAGTATCTTCCAAGACAAAGCCACTAGATGGCATTCCACATGAGGACTGCAGTTAGGTAAAAGCAATTTTATCAGATGACATATGCCAAATGATTGTAAGTTGAATGAGGGTGAGCAATGTCAGATGATGAAAGAGGAATTAAAATAAATGGTTTTAGGATATCTCCATTAATTTATTTATCTATCTCCTAGAACTGGAAGGGACCTTGAAAGGTCATCGAGTCCAGCCCCCTGCCTTCACTAGCAGGACCAAGTACTGATTTTGCCCCAGATCCCTAAGTGGCCCCCTCAAGGATTGAACTCACAACCCTGGGTTTAGCAGGCCAATGCTCAAACCACTAAGCTATCCCAGCTGATGTGAGATGAAGATATGCAAATTAGTATGAATTTTCATATTGCATTTAGTAGTTTTCCCATACACATCATAAAAGGAAAAAAAAACCACTTTGCTCTTATCATGTCTCCAAAGTGCAGTAGCAACTGAAACACAAGGAAAAAATCTTGCACCAACTCTGCTGAAAACAAGAAAAGGGATGTAGTAGTTAAGTAAAAGTAAGTTTTGAAGACTACAACACAATCTTTTAGTCCTTTCTCCCTTCTTCACGTACACAAGGTGTGTCTGCAGTGTTTTTGACTTTAGTTAACTGGCAAATTACCTCACGGTTGCTAACACATATTGTAAAGTTAGCTGTGTTAGTCCTAGGACATGACACAAGGCGGTGAGGTAATATCAGCTATTGGACCAATTTCTGTTGGTGGAAGAGACAAGCTTTTGAACTTCATAGAGCTTCTGAAGGAGCTTAAAAGCATGTCTCTTCCACCAACAGAAGTTGGTCCAATAAAAAATTACCTCACCCACATTTGTAAAGGTTAGTCTGTTCACTCCCTAATTGTTCCAGGCTACAATTTCTAGTTTTTGATTAAAATTGTATACTTTTAAAGTTTTGGAAATCACTCTGGAACTAACAATTGGGGAGTGTCTAGACTAGCCTGTACAAATGTTAACTACCTCGAGTTAGCTGGGAATAAATTAATTAGTGTGGTTTTTTTTTTTAACACTTTAGTGAAGATAATCCTACAATTCGCTAATACAGGTTTTCCTGCTTTCTAAACTGTTACTAAAAGTTGAGAAACAGTTATGGCTTGTTCCTATATTAAACCCTGATAATGAAAATAATTGCAAGTGGGTTTAATTATCTCGGGCTGTAGCTACACTATGGAGATTGTGCTAGCTGTACTGTTGACATTAACTCCTTCCATCAGCGCATGTTTTCTGTTGGTGTAGGAATGCCACCTCCCTGAATGAAGTTAGATATGTCCACAGAAGCATTTTTCCATTGCCAATGCTCAATGTAGATGCAGCTAGGTTGGCATAGTTATGTTGGCTGGGTGTGGGTTCCCCCCCATCCCCCACCTTTACTGATGTGGTTATGGTGGTAGACCAAGCCTCAGAAAACAGCAAGTAAATCATATGTGCTCTGCATGATAAGATTGAAAATTTAACTGATTTTATGTTGTGGATTCAACATTAAATACCAGTTGCTAGTAGTAAAGTGGGAACAAGTAATGAATAAGAGCTCTAAGACGAATTGGTGTGTGCTATTTTTTTAAAATAGTGTCCATTTTCATTTCACTCTTTATGCTAGCCAGCAAAAAATGCATTCTTGCAGAACAGGGAAGTGTAGCAATTTTTTTACTTTACACACTAACTCAGTAAGATAAATGTATATATTTGGTATTTAAATCCAAATCACGGCAGTAACCAGCAAAGTACACATACATTTTACAGAGAAGAGTTAATTTGTCAGATGTAATATTGTACATCTATAAATTAAAAGTAATTCATTCTAAGAAAATGTGCTAGCAGAGCATATTTTAAAGAGTGCCAAAATAATTAATCTGTTACCACTTGATTTCCAGCATGATTAATGGGACAATATATGATAAAAGAAAACATGTTATAATTATCTGATGTACAGTATGGCAACTCAGAGCAAATTTTAAAGTTAAGAAACCTCACCTCTTTAAAACACTTTGAATTTACATATTGACTTTCATCAGAAAATCTCAGTTTTGTGTAGGATGGGACTTAATGCAAGAGTTCAGAGCTTATTAGACCACACAATGTACATATTGCCATGTAACGGCAAGTGTGAGTGAGGTCTCCATTGCTAATACCTCATCTGTTGGGAGTAGCTATGCTCTGCATGGGACCTAGTTGTTGTTGGTGACTGCAGGAACTCTCCAGGGTTTGTGCATTTAAAAAAAAAAAAGACAACTGAGTGCTGTCTACAAAACATACTGCTAGTTTATTTATATACAAGTGAACGACTGTTTCCCTGTCCCAAAGAGCTTGCAGCCTCATATAAAACACTTTGGGGGAGGTGGGGTAGGAGAAACAGTGGACAAGAGTGGGAGAAGGAAATGAAAGATTTGTTAAGCCTGTCATTTAGACATCAGGGAGCCAAACATGATGAGACAGATGGGAACTAAGGTTTTGAAGGTGAGAACTATGGGATTGAATTTGATGCTGAAGAAGCCTATGAAGGAATTCAGACACACTGGCTATGGTCATTGTGGTAGGAAAGTGGATGATTTTTATAGCTGTGTTTAAGGTTGAGAGGTCAAGGAGAGAGAGTCACTAGAGAGAATGAGTTTGTACCCGTCCACTGTCAATAGCCTGACCTTCTCCAGTCAGGTTTCAGGCCAGGTCTTGGAATGGAGACAGCTGTTGGGATATCTCCATATTTCCACTGACGAGAAGGCCCATATTCATACCTATAAATCTGTCTATGGTATCTGATACCATACGGCTATGGCATACTATCTGCAGGATACCAAGGGAGGTTACACTCTCTTACCACTTCAAAACTTTTCTCCCTTGGTATCCTGTTAATTGATTTATCTCCTTAGAGACCTAACACTTGATAAATCCCCCATCCTTTCATGTATTTATACCTACTTCTGTATTTTTTACTTCATATATCTGATGAAGTGGGTTCTAGCCCACGAAAGCTTATGCCTAAATCAATTTGTGAGTCTCTAAGGTGCCATAAGGACTCCTCGTTTTTTTTGCTGATACAGACTAACACGGCTACCACTGAAACCTGTTGGATGCTTAAATAACTATAGCTGCAAAAACACCCCCTCCTATTTTTTTTTAAATTTAAAACATCTGCATGAAATTAACACACAGGCTATACACCCTCCTGTTGAATTATTTCATGAGCCATGTCTTCTTGATCTCCAGGTTCGATTAGTGCAACTCATTTTTCCTTATTATGAACATGCAGCATTTAAAAACAAACCCTTTACACCAGAATGCAGCAGCCTTCCTGATCACCAACACCAGCCACTGATAGCACATCACCTCAGTACTCCAGTCACTGTTCCTTACACAATAAACAATCAGTTTCAAAGTCTGTCCCATTCTGCAAGGCCCTCCATAGAAAGTGGCCCCGGGTGTCTCAGAGACTTTCTGTGACAGTGACCTCTCAGCTTCATTCCTCCAGACCTATGAAATTGTTATCCTCAAGGGTAAAATTCAGGATGTTCTGGAAAGGGCCACGGCTTTGGAATACATGGCTGAAGGAAATTAGAATGACATTTGGAAGGAAGTGTAAAATTCATACCTCAGCTTAGGGTTGCACAACTAATAGTAGCAAGAAAGAATGAATCAACGGAGGCAAAGGCAAGAAGGACTGTGTGAGAGAGGGTAAGAGAGAAGAGTAATACATGAGGATGATGGGGAAAATAGCCCAGGCTGGTGTGGGGGAAATGGGGAGAACATTATATAGCTGACCTATTTTGAATATGGTTATTTACTCTTTGGGAAGCACTGAGATACTGTTATAATAATCTTGATAGAGAAATGAGGTGTGAAATGATAAAAGGGTTTAGTGATGGAAATGGAGAGGAGAAAAACATAATTTAGTGACTCAGTTTGAGAAGAGAAGACCAAAGTGATAGTGCTTGATCTTGTGGAACAGGAAAGGTAGTAGGGTTGCTGAAAATAGCAAACAGGAAAGGAATGATGGAAATAGATTTGGAATAAAGATAACTTCATTTTTCCACTGTTGGCTTCAATTTTTCTGACATCCAGGAGAGGACAGAGCTATGAACAGTCAGGCACGACTGATTCACCAGAAGGTCAGTGGGGAAAACCTGATCTGCCACGAAACCACAACGCTCTAAATTCTTGCACTAGGCCTCAATGACTACTCTTTAGAGCAGTGGTTCTTAACCTATTTACCATTGTGGGCTGCATCCAATATTACCTGTATGGCCCTGAAGATGTCTCATGGGCTGCAGCTATGTGCTGACTGGACTGCAAGTTGAGAACCACTGCTTTAGAGGCAAGTGAATGTTTGCACAGCAGTTTGAATATGTACAGTGCTATGGTAAGTAGTAGTAGTAAGACACAGCAGAAAGTCAAATGGTAGTTGGGTTGGTGGTGAAGGTTTGTGATGAATGAGGGGTATCGCCATTCCTTTAAAAAGTGTTAATTTAAAAGACTAAATTAATAGATCAAAATATTCACATAATGTCAACAAGTCAGTCTTTGCACTGTAATTTGCACACTAGTCAAAATAACCAGAATACTTACTCAGGATATTGTTAGTAACAAGTGGAAGCTCATTAAGGGTCAGTTCTGCATTAGCTGTAAAATGTTTAAGCTGCAGCACTGCCAACACGTCAACTGCCACTACCTTGTGGCATCTGAACACTGTGTGTGCACATATTAATATTTTTAATTTAATGTAATATGTGTCATTTAGGTTACATACACTATTTGTGGGCTCATTCAGATAATGCATTTACTTGTTTGATAAGCGTCAGAGCAGGTTCCGTGTATAACGATGAATTGACATCTGATGAAAGGTCGCATTTTCAAAAATGTGCGTGCACAATTATGGGTTTTGCACGCAGGGATGATTACAGCTCAGGCAAACGAGGTGCTCACTTGCATCTCTACATGTTCTTCAAAGGCAGGCCCGCCACTTGAATCTAAACTGCGTAACTAATCACGAATGCTGCTCACAGAGCACCCACCTGGCTCACGGTTCAGTGCAGGTAACCAGCACTGTATTTAGCGAGAGGCTCGCTGGGCTCCAGAGCGAGCCCCAGCCTTTTGCAGGCCCGTGTTCTCCCCTTTGTGTTAGTCACGAGATGCTGATGCAGAGCCTGGACTGGAGCGATCACACCAGCTAGAGGCCGTCGTGTCAGGCGCAGCAGCCCCCAGAGTAGCGCGAGCTGGTGTCAAACCGGATCCAGCCCGGGGAGCCGACTCGGCTCCACCCGCGCGGCCCTCCAACTCTCATTTCCTTCCCCTCCACCCTAGATCTCGCGAGAACGTGTGGAGTTCGAGGTTGCCATGGATACAACGACAACCGACCGGCGCTCAAGACTGCTGGGGGAGAGAGGTGGTTTGTCCGGGAAGCGGCCCTGAAGCTTTGGGGCTGAGGTAAGGGGGTCTCGACTCGGGGTATGACCCAGTCCCGAGTGAGAGAATCATGCGGCGCCGGCATAGAGGAGCGGAGCCGCTGCGGGAAGCGCTACGCGTACAAAAAGGGGAGGCCGGCGCCTACAGCTCCCAGCATGCCGTGCGGCGCTCCCGCGGTAGGGGCTAAGGAGGCGGAGCGGCGCAGTGCATGCAGGGAGTTAGAGTCTAACGGCTGTACCTGTATTTGTAAAATGGGCTCTATGAGCTTCGGGGGCTGCGGTGCATTCTGGGAGCTATAGGCCCTGTGGTGCATTTTGGGGCTGTACTTCATCAGCTGCTGACTCAGGACAGTGTAATGGGGTCACAACCCGCAGTCCCAATGCCCGAATAAAACCATGTTCGGGGCTTGGTGGGTAGGGTTACCATATTTTGTGCCTCCCAAAGGAGGACACTCCACGGGGGCCCGGTCCCGCCCCCAGCCCCGCCCCAACTCCGCCCCCTCCCCAAAGTCTCCGCCCCCTCCCCTGCTTCCCGCGAACATTTGAGTTGCGGGAAGCCTGAAGCAGGTAAGGGGGAGTGTGGGGGGAGGAGGCGTGGTCCAGGCTGTCCCTGGCCCTGGGGTGCCGGCCCCGGCCCACCACCGCCGGCCCGGCCCCCGAGTCCCCGGCCCGGCTGGCGCCCCCGATCCCCCCGCCGGAGCCCCCGGCCCTGCCGACCCGACCGGCCTCGGCCCCACCGGAGGCCCCGG